ATCGCAACTGGGGAACCTCGTTGATGATTTGTCACGTACCTCTATGATTATCTTCTTGCTCTGCAACAGGAACATGCTGCAGGCCATCTATGTGCCCGCGAGAACAATGTCAGTTAATCTGTCCTCAGCTTGGCCACTTGTACACTAGACAAACATACATTTTTTCCAGCGCACATAACACTCGTCGCAAATTGATTTCTTGGCTTGGGTTGCACCCGCCATCAAGGCTTCTGGGCACCTTCGCCAAGTAGGTGCAGATCTCACCTCGCATACAACACAAGTGTATGGCCTTTTGGAGGAGGGCGTGGGCAGGAGACAGGAACTTTCATCGGGCGAGTGGCTGATGGAAGCATCGATTCGAGCATCATGGGCTGAGACTTCGGGGAACTTGTGACTGTAACAATCGCAATTTTTTTAGCCTGATGGTATTACTTCCAAGTAGAGGCTTAGCGGACGCACCCTTTAAACATGTAAAAAAACTTTGTAATATCACCCCCACTCTTTTTTGGAAAAGCTTTCCGTATAGCACGGAGATCATCACCCAGTTGGCTTACAACTTTATCCACTTTATCCGAATCCCCCTCGGTCCAATTGACAAAACCAAGGTTTTTGATCGTTTTCTCACTCAACTTTAAGCGCGCCTCTTCAAGACTTGAAACCTCAGACAAAGTCTTTAGGGCTCCATCGAGGATTGTTACCCCCACATGGCGAGCAACTGGCAGCTGAGCAGCGTCACGGATGTAATCATTCAAATCGGAATCTGAAGAGATAGACGTTGATGATCAGATGGAGTTTGCGTCAAACGACTGTAAGTGATTGCAGAGCTTGCCTTGGTACTTCTCCAAAAGATCGGGGGTGGAAATGACATCAATTGTCTCGTCGCCACCACGAGGTGTGTCCACTGTAACCAAGCAGAGCGTTTCTTTAGTCTTAAACACTCAAAATACAAGGACAAATCCAAAGCAAAAAAAAAACCAAACCTTCAGTTGAAGCAAAGCAAGAGACGTTGACCGGGGTACCATCCCGGCTTCTTTTGTCCGCTTTGACCGGACGTCCAGCGCTTTGGATTGATGAGGATGCATTGCCCGTCTCGATTGATGGATTGACGGGAACCATGGTTTGATGCCGGGAGCCAACGCGCTGGAGATTGTAAAACATGACAGTTTTAATTTCGAGAGCAACCCAAAAAACCAAGCATTTCAGACGAAGACCCACCGGTGCAGTATAGATATGGGGTGAATCCATCGGATCTGTTTGAATTGAATGGAAACCCATTGGAGCCTCAGCAATGGAAGTCTCATAAAATTATTTCGAATGTAAGCAACCTACCCAAGACAGACGCGGGCTCCGTAAATCGTCCATAATAACGAAATGGCCATCCATCAACCGTCCTCAAAACGCCATCGGGACCATTCCCTGGTTGGACAAGTGCAGTAACCATTGCTAGAATAACAAAAATGAATGGCTAAGGTTATCATACCCCCATCACACTTGAGGATCAGATAGAAGTAGTAAGCGGGCTAAAGACTGACGTCTTTTTTCTTCCCTTTATCCCTCAAAGATCTACCACTTGCCGCGGCTGCTGGCCCACTACTGCTGGTTGCAACAGCAGATTCATCAGTTGACTCTTTCGTGAGGGCCAGCGCTTGATCCTCAATCGACTCCTGTCGCTTTTTGGAACATGGTGCACATGCCCATTGGTATCCGCAGCGCGCCATCGATGACCTCGGTCTGGCTTGCGGATGAGAG